CCAATCGGAGACCAAGGAAGCATGTTTCTGGAGAATATGCCTCCAAGAAATTAGAGGCGGACACTCCAGACCGAGGCCATCCATATTCCCTTACCTCCCAAGACGCAGCCCTAGCCCTTCCTGCAGGGTGGACTCCAAGGCAGTGTCTGTTGGTTGGTTATTTTTAAAATCTTTAAGGAAGCCAACTGCTACCTCTTTGTCGGCGGAACAAAATGAAGTGGACTGGAATTCCCATTCTTCACAATGTTAATCCATAATTTTTTACGATCCACACAATTGGATGTCTTTGCAGAGTTAATAAAGCCAGTGAATATTTTCAAAATATTTGCAGAAATACTTAGAATATTTGAAGAACATGAAGCCCTTTATGTATCCCATTATATCATATAGATGTATCATCAAATACATGACAATCATCAGAGAGTTGAATACAGGGCAGATTTCAGGTAAGGTCAACGATGACAAGAAGTCTTAGAAAAGTCACTATGCATCTGCTATAGAAGAACACTCATGATGCTCTCCCACAGCCATCTTCAGTCTCCTGTACAGCCTGTCACAGTCACACGCTTTTTCTCTCAGTCAGAGGAGGCAGGAAGAGCATGAGTGAAGAGCTGGTTTGTTTCTCCCTTTATCCTTATTGAATTGTGTGACTAATTTTTATTATTATGGTATTCCAGATGTGCAATTAATAACCATGCAGGGACCAATAGTCAACTAATGTCCATTCTAATGTGGTCCTTTGTGGCGAGAAGAGGGTCCCCAACAAATCATCACAGGTCCGGTAGGCGCAATTGTACAGCGATAATAAGTAAGGATTATTGTAAAGTCATAGAGAGCATGAGAGACAGAAGAGAGATTGGAATAATGGAGTCAGACCCATTTCATGGTAGCATGCTCACCTCCTGGATGGCCATGATCTTACCAGCCAGGTCAGCACACAGCACGGGCCGATGCTAGGTGGGGCAGGGACCTGGCAGGATGTTCGAGTACCCGGCAGGAGGCTGGAGGACCCGTTTATTGCTAACCAATGGTTAGAGCTACTTAGGAGGCTGTGATTGCAGGTAACCACATGTCACAGGAAGGGGCAGTACAATAGGCATACACATTATAGGAAGGGGATGAGCTAGGGATGTACACATGCTAGGAAGGGGAGGAACTAGAGGTATACATGTGACAAGAAGGACGGACCCTAGATTCATGATGGCGGCCTAACCTTGGTCACCCTTGGGTGGGCATGACCTCTCTGGGGTCTCCTACTAGGAAATAGACAACTACTATCCTTATCAGAAGGGAGTGGGTCCTACTTGTTGTGGGATAAACAGTGGTGACTGCTTGCTCTAGATGGCTGATAACCCTTAGGGAGAATAATCCCTGATCTACTTCTGTTGATCTCTAAGTGCATAGTCATTCACAAGCAGCTAAGTTTGGTATATATTTGGAGGAGACAACTTGGGAGAAATCCTTCTGTTTTCCACAGTCCTTCATTGACACAGCTACTCTAAGATATGTTTTTTTTCTTCCACTTATAATACTTATTTGCGCGTCAAATGTTTCATGGATGTATAATAAAAATAAGCACAGAAATAAAATTCGGTTGTGTTGTGATGTAAGCAAAGTGGAAGTTCCCTGAAGGAACTCCTGCTGAATGTCCAGTGTCCAGGACAAAGGTAATCAATAAATATTTATTAATAATGTTTATCTGCATTCTTTCTGATATAGTAATGAGCTTCTACATTCCTATTATTAGGCAAGATAATAGAAAATGTAATGAGCTTCTACATTCCTATTATTAGGCAAGATAATAGAAACCAGGTTACATTAAAGGTATATAAAGGTATATTTTAAGTATTAGATTGAAATCGAGTTTTGCCTTTTACTTTCTATATTGTTTAATCTTTCAGTGTCGTTTTTAATAATTGTTCATTTGGTTATAAGGTTAATTTTTTAAGTAAATCACTAAAACCTAGCTAGCGACTCACAGAAAAATTACAAGATGCAAGTTCAATGATACATTAATAAACTTTCAGCAAATTGAAAGCTGTGGACAAATGTTATGTCCCAGGGCTACAAAATCAACTATTTGCAGATCTCCCCCACCTTGTAGCATCGTCAATGCCCAATCAGTTTTTACCCGTTCACAAGATCAGCTCTTCTGCTTCACACATAAGTGGGGGGAGAGTCAGTGATCACACCACCACACAACGAATCAGCCAAACCATCGTTCTCTGGACACCCAGTCTGAATTTTTAGTTAGCCTTATTTCATACTCACTTTCAAATGAGAGAGACTAAAAAAACTTTCAAATGAGAGAAACTGGAGAGACTAAAAAAACAAAAACAAAAAACGACCTAGTCATCTCGTTTTCTAACAAATATGCAAACAGTACTCATCACGGCACACGCACAGCACACATGGATTTCACTATTAATCACGCAATACTCCGCTTAATAGCGGTTCAAAGGTGAACCGAGGGCGCTAGTCTCCAGACAGGACTCTAGGGGCAGAGCCTTAGCAGTCCTTTATGGAAACCCAGAGACGAGATGAGATGAGTCATCCCGATCCTCCAAAAAAGCCCTAAAGAAGCAGAGCCCACAACAAGCATCTGCACTACTCTTTCTGGAGGGAGAAAGTTGTTCCAAAATACCACTGGATCTTTCCCAGGCACCCTCCTCCCCCGCGCCTTCCTCGCCCCAAGAGCACCGTTCCGGAGCGACTTCCCCGGCGGAGGGTACCCAACAAAGCCCCTTCCCGAGAGGCGACCTTGCCGGGAGGAAGCCCCCGGGTCCCCGGCCCCCGGCAGCCCACCCTCCCGAAGGCTGGGCACTGGGCACTCACCCTCGCGGCGGCCGTCTCGGGGGGCCCGGGGCCCGGGCAGGCAAAGGCGCCGAGAGCAAGCTGGGAGTGGGTGCCCAACAGGCGGGCTCCGCAGTGGAAGCGGCGGCAGACGGAGACTTGTCTTCTCCCGCGCCGAGCGGCCGGCGGAGCGCACCCCGCGGCGGCCCCGCCTCCCTCCCTCTGTCCCTCCATCCGTCCCTCCCTCCGCGGGGCGGGCGAGCGGAGGGCGCGGCGTCGCGGGCGGGGCGGCGATAAGCGCCCAGAGCCCGGGCGCGGGACAGTCGCCGCCCCTCCCACGGCAGTCGGGTGGCGAAGGGACAGAGCAGGAACTCTGGCCCCGGGACCTTGCCGAGCAGCAGAGGCCAGCCGTCTAGGCATCCTCCAGCGCCCTCGGAGCTGACCTACGCGGTCTTTCGGACCCGACGGCTTCGGGCGCTGGAGAATGGCAGCGCTCAGGGATTTGGGGGCTTCTTTTGTTTGACGCCGCATCCTTGTCCAATCGGAGACCAAGGAAGCATGTTTCTGGAGAATATGCCTCCAAGAAATTAGAGGCGGACACTCCAGACCGAGGCCATCCATATTCCCTTACCGCCCAAGACACAGCCCTAGCCCTTCCTGCAGGGTCGACTCCAAGGCAGTGTCTGTTGGTTGGTTATTTTTAAAATCTTTAAGGAAGCCAACTGCTACCTCTTTGTCGGCGCACAGCCTCTGTTGGGTTTCAGACCCTGGCCTCTTGGGTAGTTAGCTGCCAAAGCCACTGGGTGGGGGCCCCATGGCCAATGCCATCAGAAACTGAACTCTAGGGTAGGAGGGAGGGAAGAACCCAAGGTCTTTTTAAATGACACATTACTAAGAGCAAGAGACCCTGGTAAACTGGGACTGCTAATCCGCAGATAGGGTGGGGGATCCAAACCTACCAACCACTCCTGGGTGCAAGACGAGACTGTCTGCCTGCGCCTGTGAAGATTTACAAGCCTCTGAAACCCTATATTGGGGTCCCTATGAATAGGTATTGACTGGGTAGCAGTGAGTTTATTTTTCTTTGGGTTTTGTTTCGCTTTGATTTTTACTTACGCTAAGCGAAGGGGGAGAAAGCTAGGCGTTCTGAACCTGTGAAGAATGGCAGTCTCAGAAACCCAAGGGCAGTTCTCCGCTAACCTGTGGGGTCGCTGTGGGCCAGAGTCAGCTCCATGGCAGTGAGTTGGGGGGTTTTCCTGTTTGTTTGTTTGTTTGTTTGGTTGGTTTCTGTTTTCGTCTTGGTTTTGTGAGGGGCTTTGGAGGCATAGTCATACATAATGGGTTGGTTAGGTTGCTAACAGCGAGGTCAACAGTTCAAAACCTCCAGCCTCTCAGGGGAAGAAAGATGAGAGTTGCTGTAAGCCCCAGTCAATTCTGTGCCAGTGATCTTGTTTGTTTGTTTGTTTGTTTTCACTACTGTGATCAAGGAGCACTACAGGCGCTCGGAGTTAGGCCTTGGGCTGCTCACTGCAATCTCCTGTGAAGATTTACAGTCTCCGAAGTCCTAAGTAGCTGTTTTACTCTGTTCTTTTGGCAGTGAGTAACTTATGGATGCCTTTTCCCCCTTCTACTTCTATTATGACTTTTATAATTAAAAGGAAATTTGTGAATAACATACAAATTGATCAGATGCCAGGTTCCCAGTCCATAAGATATACATATAAAAGTCCTATCCTTACCGCAAAGGGGGTAAACCGACTAAATCAAACAAACACAAAATTCTGCCTTATTTTAATCTAATTTTTAAAAGTTTGTGTTCTTTCATATTGATGTGTCTGCTTACATGCTAGATCACCCTCATAGAAAGTCACGATGATTATAACTGCCATTACGTTACTTGGAGAAATTCAGATTAAAGCTAGAGGTTCATCAATGTATGGCGCTGTGTAAAGCATTTAAACAGCTGCCAGGGAGTTAATTACAACTCACAGTAAACCTACAGGACAGAGTAGAACTGCCCCATGAGGAGTCTAACACTGTGATCTTTATGGAAGCTGACTGCCCCAACTTTCTCCCCAAAGCCTGCCGACCTTTCAGTTAGCAGCTGCGTATTTAGCCATTGCACTAGCAGAGTTCTTTATGGACAGAACTTTACCATTTTAATTATCTTAGCTGTATCTTGAAGCTAGTATTTGTAAAACCTGTTTTCTTCTTCTTCTTCTTCTTTTCTTTTGTTTTGCCTTTAAGGTTTCACCTTTCATGGCACAGAATTTTAAGAAGAGAGGAATGTTACAGAAACTTCCTCATTTTACAGTGGAATCACCCAGGATCATAAAAGGAGAATGACAGTCATCTGACTTAATTAGCCTCACAGGTCATGTCCCTCTTACCTTCAACCCCTGGCCTTACTTTTATTTTACCTGAGAAGAGTAACTGCACAGCATCTTTTATCAAGACCAGCACTTTTTATTTCCCACTTTACAAAGCTTATGTTTTCTTACTACAAATCAAGCAAAAAGAAAAACTAAAGTTTCCAGAAGCCTACTGAGCACATCTTACTGACTTCTGGTCTTATCTATCCACACATCCTTAATTTAAAAAAAAAGGGGGTCTGTACATAAAGTGTACAGGCTAAGTTTCTGGAACCAGACCGACTACATCTGAGTTCAAACAAAAAAACTCATTGCCATATGGTGGATTCCCATCTGATAGAATTCTAGCTTTCCGCAGGACAGGATTTGGGATTCCCCAAATCCATAGGACATTACTAAATATTTCTCCAACTCTAGGTGTTCCTTGATAACGCAGGATAAATCATCGCTAAGAGTAATTAGGAAGATGACAGGAGAAAGTGCCTATAGAAGATTCAGCAGTCATTGCCACTGGTTAGCACTCCACAGATGGTAGTTATTGATAGTATTGCTATTTTGTACACTACTGTTCAACTGAAGAGAGAAAGCAAGGTTTTCATAATGTAACATTGTTCTATGACTTTATATTTACTGACTCCCTGCTATTCAGTTGTATGGTGCCACCATTAATTTAACTAATCATTTGATTATGCACAAATGTTCTTATAACTATATTATTGCAAAAATCTACATTTCGTTTCTTAGAATGGATTGCCCAAGAGTAATTTATCTCCACTTTAAAATAGTTAATACTTATAGAGAAATTTCCCACAGAAATTCAAACCAAACTCACTGCCATTAAGTCCAATCCTGTTCATGGGCAGGCCCTAGAGAGCTTCCATAGAAGGGCATCGTGCTTGGTAAAGTAGAGGGGCAGCAAAAAAGAGAAAGGCCCTCAATCAGATGGATTGAGACAATGGCTACAACGATGTGCTCAAACCTAATAGCAATTATGAGGATGCCCATGGGACTTTGAGTAGTGTTTTAGTCTGTTGTACATAGAGTCACTATGAGCCAGGACTGATTGGATGTCACCTACCAACAGCACAGAGCTTCCAAGATGACAAATCTTATAGGAGTAGAGAGACTGGTGGATTTGAACCAATGGCCTTGGGCTTAATAGTGCAATGCACCACCAACTATGCCATGATGGTGATAGTGCCAAATCCAGGCTCCCAATAATTTTTTCAAAGGTGGTTTGTGTCCCTGAACCCTCACATATACTGTATAAAACAACCATTTCAATGTGTTAACATTTCATCGATTATTTGATAGCAAATGCTACATACGTTTTTTTTAAAAAAAATTATTTCTTTAATGTTTAAAGTAACTATCTTTAATGTTTCATCGTCATTTATGGTTACTTTGTAAATTTTCTACATGCAGCCATTTCTCAGCCCCCCACCGCCTCCCCACTAATCTTTGCTTTCCTGTTAATTTCTTAGTTGACAGAACAGGTAAATAGAAAAGGTTTTAATCCCTGATGATATATATAGAATTGATCTGCCAAACTGTCTTCAGGCTAGTTTGTCAGTTTATTTAGTCTTCTGTGGTATATAATCAAGTTAGCACACTGCTAACTGAAAGCTTTGAGGGCATGTGCAGTCAGTACCCTTGACCCTCACAATGGAGATTACAAACCAGCACTGACAGGTACAAGATGTCACCATGTACTTTTGTAGCAGTGCCCTTGGATACATAGTAGTGAACTAGTAGGGAAAGTACCTTGTTGTAAAGGGAGCAGGCAGGCTCATTCATGAATGCACTGGAGCCTCCCCCTTGAACACTCCAGAAATCACGGTGTTGAGTGGAAGAGGAGGGACAGAATCACACCAGTGAGGAGGCAGTGAATCACTAGTTTTTCGGCACCTGATAGACCAAGGTCGGCAGCCTGCAACCGGCAAAGGACTTAAGTTGATTTAATGTTAATTAAGGACATGGCTTATTACACAGAAAGATCATCCAACACAAACACAAAACAAAACCACCTTCTCATGGAAGAACCAAGATTGCAGGGCCTGTAGCAGGCATTCTGCTAACAAAGATCCCATATGGCTCTATGAGAAGCTCCCTTTAGCTTTTCTCCGGTTCGTGGTACTTCCTGATCCCTCTCAAAGAGCCCTGCAGGCGCAGTAGTTCAATGCTCAGCTGCTAAACTAACTTGAAGGTCGAACCCACCAGTTTGCTTCCATACAGATCACAGCCTTGGAAATCCTATGGGACAGTTTGACACTGCCCTTGGGGGTTGCTATCGTCTGAATCAACCCTGCAGCACGGGATGGTTTTGAACTTTAGAAACCTTCTGCAGTACCTTGACTTATGGATCAAATCCCCATCTTCAGAGTCCACAGTATAGACCCTCTTTGATCTTGCTTGCTTCATCAATACACATCTTCCTCTAACACCTTTCTTCTGTCTCCCTCTTCCATGTTCAACCCACTGACATCAAGTTGATTCTGACTCAGAGACACTACTCAAGAACTATTCGTTAAGGTTTCTGAGATGATTAATCTATACAGGAGCAGAAATTGTTCTCCAGAGGAGCAGCTGGTGATTTGAAACCACCAAACCTTTTGGTTAGGAGGATGCTGCTTAACCTACTGCACCACCATGGATACTTACCTACAAAACAAAAACAATTCCACTTTTAAGGACCTTAAAATAACTAGATTATCTCAGTAGGATAAACCAGGATAGTCTCCCTTATTTAAGATCATCTGATTAACTAACTTAACTTCATTTGCAACCTTAATTCCCCCTTGCCATGTAAGCTAACATATTCGTTTTGCAAGGAGTAGGATAAAAATATATTTGTTGAAAACAAATGAATTGAATATTCTAGTCAAGAAACAGTGGTAGACTAGACTACACATATGACATGTCTATATGACAAAGGCCACACCTTAAGTACAAGGGCATAAATAGATTAAAGTGAGGGTGGAGCTACTTGACCTAACAAATAAGCAGTAAAACAAAGCGAATAGGAGTGGCAATGCTAATAGATGACAATAAATTTTAAGTGAGAATTTATTATGAGACAAAGAAGGACATTACATGCATCACCTGTTGATGATGGCTGGAACCATTTTAAAAGGGAATAAAGAATCAGAAGACCTGCAT